GCGCCCCCCCACTCCCACCCCAGCTCTTGTATCACTAAGAATCTGGCAGCCAGTTCCGTCCTGACAGAGTTTACAGCATATATTGGTGGATTCTTGTCCACAGTGCATCTGCTTTAAGAATTAACGAAAGCAGAGTCAAGACAGTAAGGTAAGCGCTGTTTTAACTATAGCACTGGGGATGCTGACTGTTTGGGACAGAGTTTATTGTAACAGGAACAGAGAAAATTCCAGAGCAACTTTGCCAATTGCTATTCAACAGCATATCCATAGCTGTGAGCTTTACTTTCACAGTTTGCTTAGTATGTTCTCCATGATTTATGGATTTGAGATCAATTTTATACAACGTATGCTGTATTGCTTGGCAAAAGAAGTTATAAAAAGTTTCAGGTTTGGAATGAGAAAATATTTAAACTAGACAGTGAAAATGTATGGCAATTAAAATATTTGTTGCTCTATGCTAATTAGTTATATATGTTAGTATTGTTAGAACCTAATTTTGCAGCAAAAAAGACCATTTCAATCAGTATTCAAAATATTTTGCCACACATATATTATTATAGTTTGTTATAATTTGCCATAAACATTTTATTTTGTTATAAAATGTGAGTTAAAAAACTTAGACCTTCTTATTTCTATTTTGTTAATTTAAAAGATGTTTTTGGATGTAAGCCGTAATGAACATGTTTTGAAGAAATTCTGGGAAACATGATTTACTTTTTCAAAAAAGTATTTCCTTCATAACCACAGGTATTTGAAAAAAACTGGGGGGAAAGTAAATAAAGTGCACGTATGCTTCACAGTGGAGTCATTATATGCCTACAAACTCTCTTTGAATTCAGAGCCCTTGTTTTTATTCTGTCAAAAAATATGGAAGCATTTTTGCATTACTAGTCAATACTCACATTATAGTTACCAAAGTCTATTTTACTGTATACTGAATTAAAGTAAGGTAGAAGCTTATTAATGAAACAAGACAAATCTTTACAACATTAATATACTGTAACTTAAAAAGAATTTGTACTGTGTAATTGTTCTCATGGCCAAGTCCTGTCGACTCCATTAAATGACTTCATCATTATCTTAGGAAATAATTTACTAAGAATCTGGTTACGTGTTACATTACTTAGCTATCAGAATGTTTCTAACACCCTTTTTAGTGTTTTATCTGCTAAAATAAATTGCCTCATAATTCCAAGTTAAGCAAAGAATAGATGTTTTAAACTTCTCGATATTAAATATCTTACTTACCCCAAATTACCTAGATCCAAAAGTTCGCACCACACTTCTCACTATCTTATGGTGTCTATTGGAATGTGGATCCTGCTTCACATTAAGAACGTTACCAACTTCTCTTCGTCCAAAACTCTTCACCCTGCAAAAGTCCAACTCCTATGTCATATTTCCCTTGACCTAAATTACTGAACCTGTACTTCTCCAAGCAATTAAAACATACTTTATTGAGTCTCACCTTAAAAACATGTTCACAAGAGAACATCACTGTTACAAATTGTTTTTAATTCTCAATTGTATTCTTTTCTACATGGCTCTTAATGACACTGTTAAATACAGACTTTCCTCAATTCTCAGCTCTCTCTCACTTCCATTCTGTAAGAATAGCAAAATCAAGTAAGTGAAGCATGCATTCTTCAATTTGTTAGTTTTTAGCAGAAAGAAAAACTCTAATTCAAAACTTAGAAAATAATATCTTTATCAGTTGACTCTCTTCCTAGGTTTAAACATTTTTAGAATTTGTGATATTTCTCTGATTAATACACTTTAGTTTACCTAAAACTTATATGCTAAATATTAATTTCAGTACACAGTTTTGTAATGTGCCTAAAAGTATAGTATATTAAATAAAAGTTGAAATAATATGCACACACACCCACAGCAAGAATTCTCTTCCCCTTCCTCAGAACCAACAATAACCAGACATTTTTAAAGGAATTTACTCCCCCATTTCCCCTCCACCTTCTCCCCCTACACACACACACACACACACACACACACACACACACAGAGCTTTCCTCCAGGCAAAACCACAGATTGCCCATGTTCTCAGTAAGGATCTTCTTAATGAGACATTTTAATGATGTTGAATGGTAGGGTAGAGAATACAATTTACAATTATCTTCTCATTTTCATTTTTTTTTCTGGTTTTGAAGAGTGTTCTGAAGCAGTGTTCTAAAGTGGTGGTCAGTAGGCACCACACATGAACCTTTTACAGGAAGTTATTTAAGTAACCTGGAGAGAATGACTGGAACAATTAGTCCTGGCTCACCCAGAAGGGGGCGCATGTGTATGAAATCTAACCTGATCCTTCCTTATTCTCATACTTAAATAAGAACTAAAAATACATCATAAGATGCACTAGAAAAGCATTATTAAATAATAAAATACACATTTTGTAATGAATTTAACATTACAAATCGAATATCCTTTTCCTGAAATTATACTATTTATAATTACATGTTTTCCCTCTATTTAGGATTCAAAACAATTGCCTAAAAAATGAATCTAGGCGCCTTTACTCTTCTCTTGGCACTAATCGGTGGTGCCAGCAGCCAGTACTACGATGATTACGATTTCCCCCTACCGATGTATGGGCGATCGTCACCAAACTGTGCACCAGAATGTAACTGCCCTGAAAGCTTTCCTACAGCCATGTACTGCGATGATCTGAAATTGAAAAGTGTGCCAATGGTGCCTCCTGGAATCAAGTACCTTTACCTTAGGAATAACCAGATCGACCATATTGATGAAAAGGCCTTTGAAAACGTAACTGATCTGCAGTGGCTCATTCTAGATCATAACCTTCTAGAAAATTCCAAAGTAAAAGGAAAAATTTTCTCTAAACTGAAACAACTGAAGAAGCTGCATATAAATTACAATAATCTGACAGAATCTGTGGCCCCACTTCCCAAATCTCTGGAGGACCTGCAGCTTACTCATAACAAGATCACGAAGCTCGGCTCCTTTGAGGGACTGGTAAACCTGACCTTCATCCATCTTCAACACAATCAACTGAAAGATGATGGCATTTCAGCTGCTTTTAAAGGCCTTAAGTCACTTGAGTACCTTGACTTGAGCTTCAATCAGATGACCAAACTGCCTTCTGGTCTCCCAGGATCTCTTCTAACTCTCTACTTAGACAACAACAAGATCAGCAATATTCCCGATGAGTATTTCAAGCGTTTTAAGGGACTGCAGTATCTGCGCTTATCTCATAATGAACTGGCCGATAGTGGAATACCTGGAAATTCTTTTAATGTTTCATCCCTGCTTGAGCTGGATCTCTCCTATAATAAGCTTAAAAATATACCAACTGTCCATGAAAACCTTGAAAACTATTACCTGGAGGTCAATGAACTTGAAAGTAAGTAGAAGGCTGTGCTTGTGTTTAATTGATGTATCCTCAAGTTTTTAAATGCCTAAACTGTGCAACACAAATACTGTTTCTGACTCCATTTAAAAAAATGAATTAAAATGTCAACAAAATATCAACCTAATTGAACTACATAAGAGTTCCAGCTTAGTTATTTATCCAATATTTGGCCTGTCTTTAGAATGTCCAGATTTTAAAAAAATAATAATAATAAGATAATAGACTTTAAACACCAATTTATTTAAATTTAATATTCTGGGCTAATTCTGCTGTGCTATGGCTTGATAATTCTTATTATTTGCCTCCTTCATTTATTTCTTGGCATGATCTAGCTGAGGGAGGGACAAACAAATCCAGAAGAGGCATAGCCAGCAGAGGCTTTTTTCTCCTATTTATCCCCAGAGCAGCCTGTATATTTTCATTGTCATCCCTGACAGTTTTACTTGGGACTCAACATATTATTCTGCTATGACGACTGTCCATCTCTGTTATCCCTGTGTTTGTGGTTTCACAGTGTTTTCATGAAGACTATGAGGAAGATTAAAGAGGGAAGGAATATGATAAGGATTTGGAACATTTTTTAAAATAGTATTACAGAGCCCCTTTTCTTATATATAACCCTTTACCCCATTTTATTTTTCTACAGTTTCTCCTTCCTTTTGCTTGCTGCCATAGTTTATTTTTCATTTATCTTATGGGTGGGAGCTTGACCTGATTCACTTGGACTATTTATGCACTCTTCCCATCTTCTGAGACATTTTTCAATTTAAGCAATACAGATTCAGGTGGGAAATTGACATTTACCAATCCCCACCTTACTCTTTAACAGAGCATGACTGAAGAGAAACCTATGATTCTTGAATAAACTTTCTAAATAAAAAATCGTGTGGGAAAAACTGATTCACAAATACAACAATTACATCTGTAAAATAATCTATTGAAACCGAGTATCTTTATGCCATGTAAGTTAGTTCTCTGGTCATGCGGGATAAGAATATTGACACTCTTACCTGAAAAATTACAGTGAACCTTGTTAATGGATACTTTGTATTTCTGCAACAGTTTCCTGTAACTCTTAGTAAGGTTAGGGTGGTCTCATGTAGAAGACCCTGATTGCCAACTCCAAAATGCCACATGCTCCTTCTTGTATCTAAGAGAAAACTTGCTTGTTATACAATACACAGTCAAGCTATCAGAGCGGAACACTCATAATTGTTTCCAGTACAAAACTCACTATGTGGCAGTATATGATTCAACACTATAAACATTTGTGGTTAGGAGAAAAGCTACACAGACTAGCCAAAATGCTAATGGAATTTAAGATGTTCTAGGGCTGAAGAAATCCTGTTAGATATGGTGAGTGGAGATTTGCAACAGGAGCAGGGCTACCTCCTTCTCTGAGATAAGAAAGGAGAGAGATACAAATGCAGAAGAATTTGGAGATATAAAGACCAGTGAAAGGAGGGCCAGTGTGGGAAAGGGGAAAGGTTGTCTATAGGAGAAATTCCAACAGCCCCTCAGTGCCAAATTGAGATTTTTTTTAATGATTGTTTCAAGCTCATGTAATAAAAAACCAAACATGATTACAACTTTCCATTCTTTAATTTCCAGAGTTCGAAGTAAGGAGCTTCTGTAAGATCCTGGGACCATTATCCTACTCCAAGATCAAGCATTTGCGTTTGGATGGTAATCACATCACCCAGACTAGTCTGCCACCTGATATGTATGAATGTCTACGGGTAGCAAATGAAATCACCCTTAACTAATATCTGCTAATTTCAATTATATCGAGGTGTACCCTGGAGCAACAATCTATGATTATGTTTTGTTGTGTGTCCATTTTTTTGTCGTTGTTGCTCTTTATTACTTCCATTGATTTTAAATTCTGAGAAAAAAATGTTTTGTAAACATTTTACTACTTTTTTTAAAAGAAAAGATGAAAGGCAGGCCTATTTCATCACAAGCACAGACACAGACACACACACACACACGCACACACACATACAGTTAATGCTTTATTTGTAAGTTTAGTGTTTTCTACATCTCTATGTCAAATGATGTACAAAGCATTTTGGTGGTTGCATGGAAGTCAGCCAAGTTTTGTGATTCTTAAATCTTAACTTAATGTACCCAAAAGCATGGACTACATGCATATGGAAGTTTACTGTCTTGAACCAAATTTTCTTAATATGTTCAACTTTGGTTAGCTGAAAAACAAGTGGTGAATTTTGAGAGCAATGATTTTGCAAAATACTAAACAAAATTCATGAAGTCACATATGTTTAAAGCAGAATTTTTAGTATTAAGAATTTATATATTTACCTAGAGAAACTTTTCTAGAATTATTTTTCACTTTAAGGCAAGTGTATATTTCTTTTTTTTATTATTTGCATGTTATGTTTAACAAGCTAAGAGCAAAATAAAACATAGCAAATAGCATCATTGTGTTTGACTTCTTGTGAAATTCATCTCTTTCATGGATAAAATACAGCCATGTGCCCTATAATGGCATTTTGGTCAATGATAGACCACATACATGAGGGTGGTCTCATAAGATTATAATGGAACTGAAAAATTTCAATCTCCTAGTGATGTCACAGCAATCATCACATTGTAGCACAATGCATTACTCATGCATTTGTGATAATGCTGTTGTTAAAAAAAAACTATTGCACTAATAGTCATATAAAAGTATAACACAATTATGTATAGTATATAATACGTGATAATGATAATGAATATGTTATTGGTTTATGTATTTACTATATTATACTTCTCATCATTATTTCAGAGTGTAGTCTTTTTACTTATAGAAAATAAGTTTGCTGTGAAACTGTATGTTGTGTTACACCAGCAGCAGCTTCATACATCTCATGTTTACATTTCTTGATTTCATCATGTTCTCTTATGCTTGATTTAATCTTGTGTTGTTTTATAAACTTGGTATAGCCTAAGTATACAGTGTTTATATAATCTATAGTCATATACACTAATGTCCTAGGCTTTTATATTCACTCAGCACTTACTCACTGACTCTCCCAGAGCAACTTCCCATCCGGCAAGCTCCATTCAAGTGCCCTGTAAAGTGTATCATTTTTTCTTTTATACTGTAATTTTACAGTACATTTTCTATGTTCTAACACTCAAATACTTACGATTGTGTTGCAATTGCACAGCATATTCAGTACAGTAACATGCTGTATAGGTTTGTAGTCTAGCATAAATAGCTATGTCATACAACCTAGGTGTGCAGTAAGCCATACCATGTAGGTTTGTATAAGTGTACTCCACGATTTTAGCACAATGACAAAATCACCTAACAATGCATTTCTCAGGACATATCTCCATTAAGCAGTGTATGACTGTAATAAATTAAAATTAAAATTAAAAAACAAAAACAAAAACCGATAGCCTGCAATATTTTACTGATGTTAAATAGAATTTTCCACTAAATAAATTGTCTGCTTCCAGCATCAACTTGCAAGGAGTTTTTAAACACATCTTACAGATCTGTACCTGAAAGCATACAGATCCCAGTTCCAATTCATGGGTAGAGGGGTTTTCCCCACCACCACCAAACAATTCTCTGGACATCAAGTGAGTGTCCCAAGACCCGCTCCTTGGGTTTGATTAATTTGCTAGAGCAGCCCAAAGAACTCAGGAAATTCATTTACTCACTAGATTACCAATTTGTTATAAAAGAATATAACTCCGGAGCTGCCAGATGGAAAAAATGCAAAAGGCAAGGTATGCAGAAAGGGCATGGAGCTTCCATACCCTCTCAGAGTGTACCATTCTCCCATAATACCCACGTGTTCGCCAACCTGAAAGCTCTCTGAACCAAACCCTATCCTTCTGTGGTTTTATGGAGGCTTCATTGAGAAGGCATGGTTTGTTAAATCATTGGTCATTGGCAATTGAACTCAGTCTCCAGTCCCTACCATCTCCCAGAGGTGGTGGTGAGGTTGGACCAAAATTTTGAACCCTCTAATCGCATGGTTGATTCTCCTGTCTACCAGACTTCTACCCTTAGGTTACTGGAAGGTTTTTCAAAAGTTGCTTCATTAACATAACAAAAGATATCTTTATCATTCTTATCACAGAAAATTCCAAGGGGTTTTGGAGCTGTGAGCCAAGAACTATGGACAAAGACCAAAATTATATGAAAAATATATTCTGGTCATCTGAATGAGCAAATATATATATATATATCTTATAAATCATAATGCAGTATTTACATCTCACAACTTGCTTGGATATTTGCTGTTATTCCCATTTCTGAGGGTTTTACTGATTCTTATGTAATAACATTCAATTAAATAAGAAGAGTTAAGATCTCAGCAATTACTGCTTGGTTGGTTGTTAAGCAAAAATGGTGGATAACTTCCAGGAATGAAAATGTTGAATGTATATAAAAGTTTCTGAAAATAAGACTTAAAAATATTAATTTATCTCGAAGCCGATACATTTGTAACATAAGGTTAGAGTTTAGAATACAGTAATAACAGCTTTCAGCTTTCAGCTTTCTACATTATGGATACCCATGATTCTATACGATGGGAAATAATATGCACATAATTTATGAAAATAACTTCTACTTTATTAATTAAAGTAGTTAATAATAAAGCATATGTTTGGAGCCATCATGCAAGCAAAAATATACTCATTCCATATGAGTGCACATATAGTCTCAAGTGTACCTAAAACAAAGGAAGCACCTCTCCAAAGCATATGTTTTAACAGAACATTTTTAGTGAATTCCGTCTTTTAGTAAAATGGCCTATCATCTAAGGACTATCATCAATTAAGACTGAGTTGACTAGCAAATATGTAAAATGTATGTTACATTAGGTACACCGTGTATTTTTGTCATGTCATTCTACATAAAGGTAAGTTTCCTGATCTATAAAAGCATTCTCATGCCACATTTCTTTTTAATAAGACTGTAATATAGAAGACTGTAATATAAAAGAAATGAAAATAGAATGTTATAGACTTATATGAGCTTTTTCTTTATCTCACTTAAGGAAAACATCTGGTCAGCTGACAGTCTACACCTTTAAAAGCATTTGATTTATCTCTATCCAAAGTTATATGCTATTCTTAAGCCTAAAAATCAAAACTATAACTTTTAAAACAACAGTTCCCTTTGTAGTTAAGGTTGGTTGACAAGGACCAAATTCAGCACAAGATACTTTCTTGTAGAAGCATCTGAAAAAGCACTAGTTAGATCCTGTTATGGAATAGCTTCTCTTTCTAGAGGACAGACCCCATCTCTCCAGGAAAGAGCTGGAGAAGAGATGCTTCCTGCTTGCTCCTCCACTCATAGTGACAGCCCTAGTGAGAGAAGAATATATGGAGACTCCTTTATATACTCTTCCCTCAATTCTTCCTAACCCCAGTTAGAATAGTGCTTTTTAAAAATTTCAAGTGTGTAATTAGCATACTGGAATACTTTTCTAAATGCAGATTACCAGACACAATGTCCCAGATATGCAGACTCAGTAGTAAGTTATGCAATGTGAAATTCCACATTTTCAAAGAACATCTCTGATGGTTCTGGTGGTCAGTGACACACATCTTTCAAAACACCAAATTAGTATGAACACTATGATCAAGCTATTAAAATCCCAGAGTTAAAAAGTAGAAGAGTCATTTTCTCTAAGGAAGCAGAATAGAAAGAGGACTGCTATTTGAAATATATGTACATAAGAATGATGTTTATTCATATTGTAACTTTATTTAAGCTCTCTAACCCTCAATTTATTCATATGTAAGCAAGGAATAAAAATGACAATTTCATAAAAATACCATGAGACACTTCTACCACCCAGCTGACTCCAGATTTGGTTTATAAATAGTTCTTGCCGGGCTCTGCTCCTTTTGCTTTCAGTGACATAGCCGGTACTTTTTCAAGAGAGATAGCTTAGGATACATTTTGATTAAATTTTTAAGAAGGTACCTAAGGGAAATGGTTAACAACAGAGTGAATTTAAAACAGGAAGTTCTCTCTACTGTGTCACTAACAACATTGATTCTGATTTTGTCTCCTTCTGGATAAAAACTATATAAATGAATTAAAGCATTGAGACATATGAGTTCTTTCTTAAGATTGAGTCACTAGAGATTTAACTGTAGACACTGATTTGGGGCCTACAAATGGAAAAATGAGAAAAGTCCCGACATCTCCATTTGAAAATCGGGACTGGGTCATGCCTTCATGGGAAGGAGGACTATGATGTACTGGTGCTTTAAGGTTCATGATAAATTATCATGCTCAATAATACAAAAACAAAAATACAGATGAATAGTATACCACTAAATGAGCCAGAGGAACATTGATTTTTTAATTAAAATTTCTCTGACTGGTAATAGCTATTTTCAGAAATACTAGTGAGGTTAAAAGGTTGATTTTACAAAGAATCATTTTTAGGTGCTTATAATCTTTTAAGTTTTGGGTTCCTTCCCCCCCCCCCCGCCTTTTCTATAGCTGTAATTTTATCATAATGATGACCTTAGATTTTCTTTGGTTAGATTTTGAGACCATTATAAATACTTGCTTAACATTTTACTTAAAAGAAAATGTTCATTTTATTTAAAGTGAACTCTAAAATAACTTTACTACCATAATTAAAAATTTATATAAAATAACAATAAAAGTTAATAGACATGCTGTAAATATACGAAATATTTTTAAAATATTTAGCTAGTTATATTTATTTACTCACTCATGCATTTCATAGCTTTTGTTTCCTAATAAGAAATAAGAAATTGAACAGAACACAGGCAGAGAAAAGTTGAAATTCAGGCAACATAAAATGGGTGAGGTCCCATGCATCTTTATCTCACTTCAATGACCTGAATATTCCACTTTTGCTTTGTAGTAACTCCTCTTTCACATTTTGGTTGGTCCAAAGAGTTATCACCTACATGTGTACCTTTTTCCCTTAAAATGAACCTGTTTTTCTATAAAACAGTATATTCTATGTTTTAAAAATATTCAAGAGCCTGAGCTACCTCATCCATGAATTGTGCCTAAAATAAACTCCACTCTATTCATGCTGTCACTGCTTTATTCTAAGATTTGCTTAATTTTCATCTAGATTTTTAAAGATTATCATATTTTTCCTAGCTTCATCATCCACAATGTTATTGGAGTGAGTTTTCTAATATGTAAACTTGGTTCTTTATTATTTATCTGTTTAAAACTATTCTATAATGCACCATCATTTACAGATGTGGTTTAACCTCTTCAACACAGCATAAAAGGCACCTCAGAATATCAAAGGCCCTTTGTAGTCTGGTCTTTGGTTACCTCCAGAGCTTCATCTCTTAGTAGGCCTTGCTAGACTC